CCAGACAGTCCATGAGAGCACATAGCGAACTGTAAGCCCTAGAGCACTCGCGAGTTCTGCTGCGTTGTGCAAGCAGCCTCTGCTGCTGCCACAGGGTTGTCCCAGCGCCGCTATCAGCAAGTTCTGCCTGCCCCAAGCCCACGTTACAGTGTGGATACCCATAGCAATAACGTGCTAAGGCCTTCCTAGGAAAATGAACGGCTTCTTTGTACTTAGCTACTTAGAAAGTGGCAACGAAGTCACCCCCTTGCTGTTGCTACCCCACGCTCAGTGTCCTGGCCAAGCCTGGGGAGCAGGATGTTCTGTGAGGGAGCACCCGCTGTCCTCTGCAGCCGGGGGAGGGCAGCACATCCTGCAGAGACCACCTGACTGAGGTGCTGAATCGGGCTGTAGCCCCACACAGTGACCCAGAGCCACAGCTCATGCTGCTTAAATAATAACAGCAGTAATAAAATGTGTATCACATACACACAGAGGTTCTTTATGGACACATTTCAGTATAAAGCACTAAGAGCAGAAAAAGGAGAGTACGTTAGATGACCAGCAGCCTGTGCAAAGATAACTAACAGCCATGGGACAGCTAATTTACACGTTAATGAAACTGTTACCATGAAAAACAATTAAAATGGATTCCTACACATCACATAAAAGTTGTCTTATTACTCTGTTCGAATAAGAGCAGTACCTGGCCTTTAGTGCTGTGTCTGTGCATGTCGCAAGCTGCCCATGAACGGCGGCAGCCAGCTGGTTACAGCATCAGTGTCTGCAGCTTCTGCTCAGCTGCAACAAATCACAGGGAAGGAGCAGGCACCAGTGCAGCTGAAAAGGTTACAGCAGCGAATGGGGATCTGCTGCCTCAATTTATTATCCTTCATGTTGGGAGGGTCTGATATTCCCTGCAGCGGGTGCTGGACCTGGGCTCTGGTGCTACTGCCCAGGACAAGCACAGCCAGCCCTGCTCTGCACCATCCTCCTTCTCGCTCAGGGTTAAGCTGGGCCCCTCCACAATGCGAAAGGGGCTAAATAACCAGAACCATCTGGTCAAAACTTGGGACTCCACAGCGTGGCCTTGACCCTCCTCCCCGCCCCTCAGCCCTTCTGCCCGGCTTCACTGAGTCCCCACCAGTAGAAACAAAGTTCCCAGGAAGAACAGTCAAACCTGAAGGCCTCAAATCCCCACCTGTCCATCTTGGAGAATATCATGGAGCCTCCCACCAGTTCTTCAGATCTGTGAGCTTGGGAAATCTCAAAATTGCTCTTTGACCTTGGCTATATACCCAGATACGGATCATTTACCAGCTGCAAATACATACATACGTTTGTGTGTGTTTGTTTAATGGCAAAGACTGCAAGAGAGTAACACTGTGTGAATCTGCCCAAGACCCAGAAGTTGCCAACTTCAGGTTACAAATCAGAGCAGTGATTTGGAGCTTTGAAACTCCCTAAGGAAAAGCTTCTCCTTACCCCCACCATCCTAACTTGATCACTGGGCAAAGCACAACTCCCTTCCCTGACCTCCCATCCCTTCCCTGTCTTGCTGTGCCAAAAACCAACTCATCATTGGAATTCCCCTTCCTTTTCCACAGTTTCTGCAGAGATGCAGAGCCCAGGCATCCGGAGAACCTCCCTCCAGCTTTGTTTCCCTGCTCTTCTCTCCCTCCCTCCACACATGCAGATGAGAAGAGGAGCCAAATAGGAGGGCGGCACCTCTCGTTCTTCTACAAACTCAAAACAGCCCTCGTGGCTTCCTCAGCAGCAGCTGGCTCCCAGTCACCTTCTGGCATTTGCACATCCCTCCCCTCTCACCTACAAAAAAGGCAAGAACTGCAACACTCAACAACACCCAGCCTCCTTCTGCCATTGCTGCACGAAGCTCCGCGAACATCACTGAGGCCACAGGCTGCAGCAGACAAAAACCTGCTCCCCGGCTGCTCAGTATCACTCGGGGAGCTAACCCACATCAACACCCCCTCCTGGCTCTTTGCAGCAGGCTCCTGGGAGCACACTTCCATCAAAGAACAGGATGGTAGTTCTGTATCTTCCCATTTTTATTTCTGTCATGATTGCTTTCCATCGACCTGCTCACGTCACACTGTGGAATTGCTACCTCGGTAGAGCTAGCAAGTTCTGGAAAATAACACCTTTTGTGGAGGCAGCACAATACAGCGATTTTTATAAAAGATATGGTGAACAAAACCCCTCCAACACCAGCACAGTCATGCACAGGAAGTTTAGGAAGCTAAAGGGAAGCAGGAGATAGAGAACAAACAAAAACTGACTAATGCTCCCATCAACGCTGCTTGTGACATTTTCAGGAACTTTAAGGACACACAATGGACTGCACTCACTGCTCGGACAGCAACTCCCAGAGACAAACTGCAGCCTGTCACATTCTTGGTCTGTCTTGGCTATTTAGACATATACTCTACAGCAAGACTGGTGTTTTGCTATCCAGTGGTACACTAATAAAATGAGGTGGGAATGAAACTTTCTGTTAGCATGTTTTTATATGAAAAACAAAAACAAAAAAACTTCACAACTTCCCCTCAAGAAAATCAAAGTGCAGTTTGCCAGTTGCCATCAGTTCCTCCCTATACTTAGAGAAACTAGTCAATGTAAGTGGGTGATCACTGAAACAAAAAAAGAGAATGAAAGTTGACATTCTAGAATCGCTATTTGCCCCCCAAACTTTTAGTTTTCTATGCAAAATCAAAAGTTTGAAGAGAAAGATACCACCATGAATGAAAGTTTCTGTTCCCTAGCCAGCCACAGAGCCTGGTGTGGCCAAGCACAAGCCCCGGTGGAAGCTGAGCTGCAGCCACAGCCGATCAAGGCTCCCCGTCCACAGCACCCGGAACACCCATATGGCTGCACACGAGCGCCGGGCAGGGAAGACAGATCAACTCCTGCTTATGCCCCATGTCCCCAGGCCTTGCTCATTACTCTTGGATGCCACAGTGCAGGCAGAAGCCTTCTCAGACAGTGCAACCCCTGTGCAACCCACCTCCTATCCCCATCTGTGCTCAGTCGCAGCTGGATGGGATCAGGGGATTAAGGACAGTTTGAGAGCCACCACTTTTACCTCAGTTTCCAGCAGACGTTCAGACCACACAACACACCTACACCGCGGCGCCCAGAACACAACTCTGCACATGGCTCAGGAGGCACCAAACCTAAAGCAGAGGCGGAGAGCGGTAGCTCTGGCGAAACGCTGGTGAACAGCCCCGCGCCGGGGCGCTGCCGCTGGGGCCTGCAGTGCCCGTGTCCTTACCCTGGCACAGGTCTGACACTGCTGTCTTCCAGCGGGGACAAGCGCTAAGAACCCCACAGATCTTCAGCAGAGAACACGATCAGGGACATTCACCTAGCTGGTCATTCATCTTTAATAGAGTTTGTGCTGCACCTAATGCATTTTACAAAACATATTAATTTCCAAAAGAGAAAGAATACATACAACTCAAAATATTAGTTTTAAGAGCTACACATGTATTGCATACAATTACAAAAAGGAGAAAGTTGCTTCAAGAGCTCCAGTTACAGCAACAAAACACAGAAGCACTTACTGGGCAAGATTAGAGCTCAACTCCATCAAGCCAAAACAGTCAATTCAAGTCAAGAAAGGCTCTGTCATACAACACGTGTTTTGTTACTGGAAGTCCTGTCTATTCAAACTGAATTCCATATATCCTCCTCTTTGTGAATACAAAGCCATCTCAAGATATACACTCTGGAGCTTAAGCAGGGTGTAAACAGGATAAACTCCTTTAAGGCTCTGTACATCTTCCAGGTGGAACAGTGGCATCCACTATTCTTACCTACATCTTGGTCACAGAGGGGAAAAACAAAAAAGCTGCTTGTGTCTCTGCATGCTGTAGATTCTAACGTGCAGGCCCAGCAGTGTGAGGCTGAACTTCCCAAAGTGCTTCTGTCTCCCCAGTCTCCATGCCCCCAGGGCCAGAGCTCAGGCGGGAATATTGGGCCCAGGTGGTGTCCGGAGCAGCCACCACCACCCGCGAGAAGGCTCCGATGGTCACAGCTGAGGGCGGCACCACAGAGGGACCCTGTCCTGCCCTGCTCCTGCCACAGCCACAGCCTGCTCCGAGAAACAGCCCCGCGAGGGCAGCGTGGCCTGACATGGCCCCGTCTGCCTCAGAGAGTGGGGTGGAGAGAGAAGCCACAGCTAGACCTCAACTAGGCTGCCCTGAACTATTTTCCAAGTAATTTAAGACTTAAAACTGCCCTTTTTTTTCAGCCTTTTTTTTTCTCTCTCTGAAGAACACTTAATTTTCATCAGTGCTATATCAGTGCTATGGTGTCCTTAGGACCTCTAGACAAAAGAGACATAATGATAAAACTTACGAAGGTCAGAGTGTTGTTTTCCCGCTTCGCCAACACAAATAAGTACACTTGGGCCTTGAGAAATAAAAATACCTGGGATCTTCTGCATTTCCCACGGGACACTGGAATCTGCCTTTTTCCCTGCTTCGTTTACTTCCTCCCTGAGCTTCCCTCTTTAGGCTGATGAGCTCTCCTGTCAGGACCTGCGGATGTCTTATTCCATCTGGGCACTTTCAACGCAGTCCTTTACATCAGCTAAAGAGCTTCTAAAATGAGTAAAACAATCCAGGGGATGAAGTTCACCTTCTCCTCAGTATGTCCCAAGAATGAGGCTGGACACTTACAGCGAGGTCTCTGTTCCGCATCTTCCATTGGCAGCACGCAGAGCGGCCCCGAGCCTCAACACAGGCAGATCTTCTCAAAAGCAATCTCAAGAGTTAGCAGAATTAAAACAGAAACATACAAAAATGCCAAATGATTTCTCCCCCCTCCCTTTTTTCCATATATATATACATATATATACACACACACACACGCACACACAAACAGGCTAAAACAACTCCAGTGGTTACACAAGACACCCCATCAGAACTCCAAGCTGTTACGCAGGAAACAGACGTTGCTTTTGTTAACAATTCTGGGTGGGCCTGCTACACAAAAAGGCAAATTACAAACACTCTAGCAAGGAGGCCACAGATCTCAGTGCTGTCTACAGCCCCTTGAATAAATTCCCTCAGACTTCTGCCAGGCTTCCCAGCATGGACAGAAACCAACGCTGGGGCAGTGTCACACGCTGCTTTTCCCCTTTGACACAACGGACAATCATCTCAGCTGCTTCCTATCCTCTCTGCCAGACTAGACGTAGATTTACCTTAATGGCAACAACTCCCTTCCCAGGAGCCTTTCTTGGCTAAGCAGGGGGCGCATGGGGCAGCCTCTGGGGCTGCTCCAGAGGGAAGCTCATCGACCACCAAGGGAAGCTGCTGTTCCCAAGTCCCCATCCCTCCCTGCCCAACTGTTGTGGAAACTGCACACACTTTGTCAACAGACTGTGGTCGCGCGAAGCCAGCGTCGTTCTTTTCACCCAGCCCCTGTCTGTGCTTACTCTGAATGCATTTCAGAAACAAGGTAAGGAGCTCTCCGAGCTGCAGGTGCACTGAAAATTATTGTAGCAGCAGCTGCTATTCACACAGTATCTTGGCACCTCTGATGATCTCTCAGCAAGTGCCAGGGGAAGAACCTTCCTGGGTTACACCACATGGATGAAACGAGCAAGCGACGGTGGCAAAAGCTCAGTTTCCAAGTTCTCTGGCTAAAACCTCCTGAATGAACTTCAGCGTTTGCTGGTACAGAAAAGCATCCTTCTTCTTTGGCTTACAAATATTTAGATGATTAACATCCACTGGAATGAGGTCTCCAATACCCAAATCTGGAAAAAAAGAAAGAAGAAAAAATTACCAAAGTTCAATAAGATGCACACGTAGCATTAGTCATTTCTCACTCATTTTCTGTCTTCTGAACACCTATTTCGTCTTGCATCAGGCAATTTTTTTTATGTGCCAAGCAGGCACCAAGCCACTCTGCTAATACGCAGAGCTACTATGTATTGTTAAATGGGTCACTTTGGTAAATCATTAGGCCAACGGTTCTTCTGTCTGAACTGGGAGTTCACAAATGCACCTCTCTCCATATAGACTCTTTTGAATATAAGCACAACTTCATCTATGGGCACCTGCCTGACTGTACTGCGGTCAGCAAAGTCCTGACCGTACTGAAGTTTAAGCACTGACCCGAACAGGGACCTGGTTTAATCCGAGGTATCTGTATCCTGAAAAAGCCTGAACGAGCGTAGGATTTTCACACTGCTATTATTCATTCAAATTCCTTATAAAATACTTTGAAGGGGAGATTAAAAAGACAACTAATGAGGGCCTTAAAAGCAGCTAAAAACTCTAGTAAATTAAAAAAAAAAAATCCAGTGTGAATTTTGCAGGACACAGGTATTCCATTTTAACTACCGACTGCAGGACACACCACAGCCTTTACGCTTTCCTGACAGCTGTCACTGCTCCTGAGCATCCCAGTTTGGGTTTGCTGTGACTGCCACATGCCTGTTACTGTACAACCCTCTGTGTGTGTGTGTGTGTGTGTGTGTGTGTGTATGCTGTTAAACCAGGGAAAACTGCAGGATCGGCCTCTTTCAGAACAGCCAAGCTTGCATTTAATCCAGCAGACTCAGCTGGCAGAAAGCCTGATCTAAATCCCTGATCTAAATGTAAACTGGTGTTTAAGGCCTTATTGGTACCTTGGGCAGTGCAGAGAGGGTCTTGCTCAGGAAAAACCTGAGAAAAAAAGTCAAATTTATAGCAAAATCCTAAGATGAAGGCCCAAGAACAAAGCAAGAGAAGGAAATGCCTGTTTTTCTCTTCAAAACTCCTACGAAAGGCAAAGAGATCACGAGAACTCAGGAGGCGAACTCTCCTTTAAAAAGTATTGCTTGAATTTAAGTTTCTTGACTACCCAAGGTATGAAAGATAAAGGATTCTTTACACTGTAAAATAGTTTGGTGATCCATTAATTTTACTAAGCAGCTTATTAACTTTCTATAGGCAGATGGAGGTGAGTTATTCATAATTACAAACGAAGGGACTACAACAACACATTAGATCTGGGCCTACTTTGTTCTTTTCAATAAGCAAATAATACTGGCATTTGGGAGAATCAAAACAAACAATTGCTGTGG